TGTCAGGAATCTAGAACACCTACATTATAATTTTTCCCACTCAGCCAAAAGTTAAAATATAAAATGGCCTAATCTTAACCCATCCTTCTTCTTACATATTGGCAAACTACAATTTTGAGAGCTGTACTATCCAAGTAGTGGTAGCTACCAGCCAAATGTGGCCAATTTTAAGATAAGAATTAAATAAATTTAAAAATTCAGTTTCTCAGTCACACTAGCTATATTTCAAGTCCGCTCAAGAGCCACACATGGTTACCATATTAGACAGCACAGAAAGAGAACATTTCCATCATCTGAGAAAGTTCTATTCATCAGTACTGGATTAGAGACTTGTTTTTGTTTGCTTTTTTAAAGCACATGGGATGCACGCAATGTTCAGAGAAGAACAACTTCATTGCAACCATAAAAGGGGGTAAGGTCAGATCTTTAAAGTCAGGTACTGCCTACAATGTTTAGGCACAAGGAAAAGATAAGTAAAGAAGTGTGTGGGGGTGGGGAGGAATAAGAGAAAGCAAAATCATGCAGCTTGGCAATAAAGCTGAACTAAGATTCAGGAGTGTGGGTTCTACTGCCTATTAGGCCAATAATTGATTTAATTATTTTTTTTAAAATATTTGTGCTTGGTACTAATTAACCATGAATTAATTAGATAAGTCTCTTCACTATTTTGGGCCTTGGTTTCTTCTTCTATAACACAAATTTAGAACAAAAAATTGCTAAGATTCCCTTTAGCTCTGTATGGATAAACACACACACACACACACACACACACACACACAGGTGGGGAATAAGTAAAAGATCATTGCATATTGGTGGTGGAAACTGGCACTCCTGTCAACTTACCACAAGTTCTATGCCTGAAGATGAAATTTAGATACCACAAAATGAAGATTTAATTCTAGTCAATAAATCCTTATTAAACAATCATTTGAACCTAACCGCAGTATTTAGAAGTAGCACACAAAAAACTGGATAGCTCAAAGTTAAGCAAATATGTGGAAAGAATGCAAGACTTCCAACATTTTAGACTGAAAAACTGGCGCATTAACATCTAACATTTTTCAATTTTTGTATTGAAAAATTGGCTAATTAACATCATTAACATTCACATATAACCAAACTGGAGATATAACGGATTATGTAATCATATATTAAGTACAAACAAATGACATAATCAAAAGCACACCTCATTTCTTCCACAAAGAATAAATAAATAATAAAAATAATAATAAATAAATAATAAAAAATAAATGCTACAGGTAATTAGGAAAAAGACACTAATTCTGGCCAACCTAATTTCTCTAGAACACACACTTAAATAGCCCTATATTTTCCAGGTTGAATATTCTTGAGGATTATTGGAATTACATAGATTCTCCAATTGTGCTATACAGAATAAAATACAACTGCAATTCTTGTCCCTTCTACCTACTACACACTTTCCTCTTTTCAGAAGTTCTATTGGTCCTATTTCCTAGGGTCAAATGGGAGAGAAAACCTTCCCCCAACCCCATCCCCATTCTAAGAATTAAAACAGCCAATTAAAAAAAAAAAAAGTTTAAGCGATGTTTACCTCTAAGTTAAAAAAAGAAAAGGAAACCGTGTTTGATTTTTTTTTTTTTTAACCTTGCAGAAGCTAAGGCAACCAGTGAGTTGTGTAACCTCTGTAAGAAATCAAACTCATTAAAGTCCCGAACCAGACCCGTGAGTATTTTGGAGCAGGAGGTAGTTTAAGGAAGGAAAAAAAAAGAAAGAAAAAGAAAAAAAAAAAAGGTTTCCAGGAAGGAAAACAGGGAGAAGAGATTTTAGAGACAAGCCTTTACTTCAAAAAGGCAGTTTTTAGTTTTCCACCTATTAATCCAAAGCCAAGAACCGCGCGGCGCGGAAACCCTGCGGATTTTGAAAACAAACGTTGCGAGGCTCCGGGGGATTGCGAAGGGGGCTGGTAACTGACAGCTCGGCCTCGGAGCGAGAAGCCTCAAGTAGGTCAAACCGTGACCACGGCCTGAAGTCCAGAGTCCAGCTCAGTGGGCTCAGGGGAGAAGAGCAGCAGGAGGGAATAAGGGTTAGGCGTCTTTCAATCCTAAAGGGGCGGGATACCAGAACCAAGGGACCTAGAACCCCAGCCCCAGCAGTTCGCCTGCTCTCACCTCTCTTGGGGGCCTTGATCAAAGGCACCCCTCCAGTCCTCTCGCCGTTTTCCTGCTTGTCCTTGTGCTTGAGATCGCCCGGAACGCAGGAGCTGGGGTCACCATCAGCGCCGCGGTGGTGATGGTGCTTGTGCCGCTCCTTGTGGCCCTTATGCTTGGGCCCGGCCGCGCTCACCGTCAGGGGCGAGAAGGTGAAGAGGGCCGAGGTGCCTGGGGCCGGGAGCGGAGCAGCGACAGCGGGCCCGGCGGGAGCCAGCGAAGGTGGCGGCGGAGGCGGCAGGAGCAGAGGCTCAACAGGGCCCTGGACGGTTGGGGCAGCATTCGTTGGCGGCAGCGGCCCGGGATGTTGGCGACTGCGACGCCGCCGGTGAGGGGGAGCGAGAGGGGGGTCCTGGCTTGGCCGCCCCCGCTTCTCCTGAGACCCCCCACTGCTTGCCCGGCGCTGCCGCTTCACTCCCCGCGGCGAGACCCCAGCATGGGGTTTCTCCTTTCCCTCTTTGTCCGGCTCCTCCTGCGCCGCCACCGCCCGTACTACGCGCACTGCTCCGACCTGCGCAGCCATTTCACCCACAAACACACATTTAAATGGCCCGACCGCCCCCCCGTCCGTGTATCGCGCAAGCGCCGCCCGCGCACGGCCCGCTGGGCATTGGAGTCTCTCCCCCACCCTCCACTGTCGGCCGCTCTTCGTGAGGAGCTGAACATGCCGGAAGCAGCAGTTCCCAGCGCTTCTCCGCAGGCCTCTCCAACCGAGCTTCTATTGTAAAGCGTCCTGGGCCGCGCAAAGCCTCGCGGGAGCGGTAGTTCCGCCGCGCCCCGCGCCCCGCGCCGCGTCCCCGGCTCTGTGAGTGGAGGAGCCGCGAGGGAGCGTGCGCCGAGTCACGCTTCGGGCTGCGACGCAACCGCCGCCAGCCGGCGAGTTGCCGCCAACCGCCTTAACGGCCCAAACAATGTTAGTGGCTTTCAGTGTGGCGGCGCGTTCACATTATCGTCTTCCTGTCCCTTTCGTCATTTGATACGGAGTAGGTGGTCTCCATAGTGACTTTTAAATTTCACATTTCTTTGATAACTTTGTGAGGTAAAAGAATCTCCGGCCTCTTACCCTTGACAAAACGAAGGGGAAAAGAGGAGTTAGCACTTGTGTAAAAATGACGGCAGTTTTGTTCCCAAATGTAAAGGGGCTGCGAGTCGGAAGTGTTCGGGGGCATTTTCAGGGGCATTTGCTTTGGTTACTACGAAGGCAGGTGCACGAACCGCTTGGGAGCCGGGTGAGTGCGGTCCCCCCTCGCCACCAGCCGCAGCCCCGCGAATGCAGAAAAGGTAGAGTCCAGCATTTATTTTGAATATACCCCTACAGCTGGCTGGGGGGGTGGTGAAAATTAGAAAATTGTAACAAGATTTTCTTTTGAAGTCCTAGGTATTAAGTTGCACAAATTTGAAAAGTGTCTACCAGAGAAACCTCCGAAAATCGTCACTGTTCACCAAGGGGCGGTTGTTGCTCAGAAATTCATTAAGAAACTCATCACTTGGGCATTTGCCTAAGATTCTTTGAATGTATGTGGTCCTTGACAACGATATTATTGGTTACAATGATGTACTCGGTAGATAAAATTACTGTGGTTTGATACCACCAATTCCTGGAAAATATTTACTTCGGCTAAAAGAACACTAATGCATTGAAGTTTAAAAACAAAAAGTTTATTTTCTACCTATTGGGTACATTGTACTACAATACACAGGTAACAATGTATCCTTCAGTTTGCCCTATAATTAGCCTTGTTAATGAAAAATATTAAGAGCAAATGATATGTAATACTGTTTCTAAAAGTTAAACTTTTTTAAAACAAGAGGTTACATCATTAGGGAAAGTACGAGGACTCCTTTGTAATAATAATGATCTTCTAACTTATTGGCTACATAAAATTAGGTTTGAAATACCACATTTTGTTAAGACAACTCCATGTTTATACAGAAATTTAAACTATCAGTACCTTTGGTTGGATATAAATTGCAAATATTTATATAGAATATTTTATATGAAGATGTTAACAAAAGATAGCTATTTCATTGATTACTTTTCTAGGACTGGGAATTGAGTAACTTTGGTTAAAATTTACCCCAATGTACATTATATAATGTCTTGTTAGTTGGTAAAGCCAATGTTAAAAAATGAGTATTATTATTTGCACATTTTATTCTCTTAAATATAACTTCTTACTACTCTGCTTTCCCACAATATTTGGGAAGATATGTGAAGAATAATCCATTTAGGTAAAAATAACTCCCCCAAAATAGTTATTGTCAGAAGCAGTAGTTTTGTACAACTGCAAGGTCAGATTTTTTTTAACTTCTTTTTTTTCTTTTATACTAAACTCTGACAGTGTAAAACTTCAATTGAGGTCTGGTTCTTACAAACCTCTTAAATTTACATTTATGCTAGGTGAGGTGGTGTGTACCTATAGTGCCATCACTGGAGAGCTGGGTGGTAAGAGCACTTGAGACCAGGCAGAGCAGCATAGCAAAACTCAGACTCAAGAATACCCAAAACAGACAGCCTTGGTGGTGCAGGTCTGTAATCCCAGTGTCTCTGTAGGCTGAGGCAAGAAGATCCGGAGTTCAAAGCCAGACTCAGCAACCTATCAAGGCCCTGAGCAACTCAGCAAGTCTCTGTCTCTAAATAAAATATAAAAAGGGTTTGGGATGTGGCTCAGTGTTTAAGCACCCCTGAGTTCAATCCCCAGTACCAACAAAAGAAACCCCCAAACAAAAAATGTGCATTTAAATAGGATAACTTCCAAAAATGAAAAAGAAATCCATTTTAAATTTTTTCATATAGCATTCTCTACAACATAAGCTTAAATCACAACCTTTTATTTGCAGTTTCCCATCCAATGTAAGATATGAAAATACAAAATTGCTGGCATTTTTTTTTCATATTGCTTTTCTGTTAAAAACCACTAACACATTAGCATATCTTCATTTTTTAATATTATGAATATTTAGCATTTATTTTAGCTAGTGTATTCCAGTAGTTTTATTGCAGATGCAGTCTATATTATAAATTCAGAGTTTATCAAATGTTCCAAGTTGGTGGTGGGTTCCTTGGTCCTTTGGGTTTTAAAAAACGATTTGCAAAACCTGGAAACAAAAATAAAATGGAATGAAATGGATTTTTTTTAATAGAAAGATAAATTTTAGACTATTATATGCAGATTCATGGATTATTTTCAAAGGGTGAAACAGCATCTGAGCAATTTAATGATAGATTATAAGAGCATTATAGTAACTAAAGCTTAAGTGATAACAATAGAATACTTTTTTAAATTTTTTATTTTATTTTTGTGGTGCTGGGATTTGAACCCCAGGGTCTTATTGTATGTTAGACAAGTGCTCTACCCACTGATATACACACCCAACCCAAATATTCATATTTTAAATGTGTAGAGCACATTTAGTATGTAAATTTAATAATAGTAATAATTGAATAAAGAACCCTGGTTAAAATAGCCTTTGATAATTTAGTGCATAATAGCATTTATCTAAATTCACTCCCCCTACTACCACAAAGAAGAAGGATGAGGAAATCTTTCAAAGAATCAAAGCTACTGAGGAAGGAGGGAAGGGAAAGAGAAGTTAGTGGGGAAGGGAACTAACCAAACTATATTGTTATACAGTGTGTGTTACAAATATGTAGCAACAAATTCCAGTATTATAATGCATCAATAAAAAAGTTGAAAAAAAGAATGAAGGCTACTTCTTGATGCTTTCAAAAGATTTTTAGGTTGATAACGTTCTTTATCCCTTGTAATATTGTCTTTTCTTTGATGGTGGTATATTTTCAAGGTATCGTAGCACTTAGCAACTTTAAGTGCTTAAATTGAAAATGAAAGGTTTGGAATACAGAGAGAACAAATAATAGAAAATTCAGATATTCCTGAACTTTTAATTTCATCATCTTACTTAATAACTACTCATAAGTTACCTAAACCTAAAACAAAAACTATATCAGAACTAGAAGAGTAGAGATGGAGAAAAGAAGATTTAAAAAAAAAAAAAAGGAAGGAAACCACTAAAAATTATGCAGTGATTTAAAATATTGGAGAGGAATGCACAGCCTACTTGATGTACATTTTACTCTGATAACAAGAAAAATGATTCAGGTTAAGTAGCTGCACATAATAGTCAAAATCATCTCATCAATAAATCTTGACTGTAACTCAAGTAGGTTGGGAATAAAAGGATGTGTTTCCTGACCACTTCAAGTATCTTAAATTTCAGTGATTATATATATATTATATATATGTATGTAATTCAGTCTCTTTCACTGGTCAGTTCTCAATAGTGTTGAGAAGCCTTTTTCTCTTTTTTTTCCCTGCATGTGAGTCATTTCAGGAAAAATAAACCACAATTTTGAGTAGCATATCCGTATAATTTTATTGCCTCTTATAAAAGGTAGCAAAGAAAAATACATGCTGCTTTTCAAATAGGTAAATTATTCAAATCTAGGCATATTTGAAAAGAAGCACAGACTGTGTTGTAAAGTTAGGTGGACCTTAAGTTACTCAAGTGGGATCACTAATTTAAAGAAAAGAAATAGAAAACATTTATGTCCCAGGCAAAGTTGGGTGCCTCTTCCATAGTTTATTCAATATTCTAAATGAATGTTTTCAACTAAATTATTTTGTACAACCATAACTTGTTAAAAGTATAATATTTTAAACTAGATAAAACTTAATAGCCAAAAAGCAGCTCCAGAGATTCTAATTAAAATATTTTCTCTAAGTGAGATAGGGGCCATAACCCAGGTGCTGCTTCTGCACCAAAATCTTTCTCTGCTTCTTCCTCAGAAATAAAATTACATTGTGTAGGGCTGTGGCTGTGGCTCAGTAGCAGAGCACTTGCCTTGCAGTGTGGGGCACTGGGTTCAATCCTTAGCACCACATAAAAAAATGTTATGTCCATCTATAACTAAAAATAATTTCTTAAAAAGTTACACTGTATATATCTGCTCAGCAATATTAACACTTGCCAGTCTCTTATAATTTAGTTATGTCACATCTAAGTTCTCTTCAAAGGAATATGAGCTGACATGATATTGCTACATAAAGCCAGTGTCTTAAGACCAGAAGAGGAAGAAGAAACCACATCTCTTGGTATTTGAAGTTGTTTCATACTATACATGAATAATTTACAAGATTTTTAAAAACTGCTGTAAAATAGCACATACCAAAATTCAGAAAGGAGCTTGAGTTATTTGGCTGAATAGATTCTGCAGGCTTGCTTGGTGGGGAAGAACTACAGATATCTGTAATGAAAAGAAAAAACACAAGGGAAAGAATGAAGATAGATTACTATTTATCAAAGTGCATATTGTTGAGATTAAACATTTCTTCCAGAGTAACCAGCACTTCCAAATAAATACATCGGCATCAAATGTTAAAATATAGATGTTTATAGATAAGTTGACATTATAATCTCGTTTATGTGATGTTTCTTTTTTTAAAAAGGGTTTTTTTTTTTTTGTTTTGTTTTGCATAACACTATTTAGTAAAGCCCAATACTAAGGGAAATTACCAAAGGAATAAGAACCATCATATATAATTAATCAATTTCTTGGGAGATTCAGATTTTTGTCTTTGAACTTCCATCTTATTTTATATACTCTTAGTACACTCCTAGATATCCACATTAATTTATGGCAAGTCTGATTTTTCTTAACATTATCCTCTATTCCTGGAATCTCTTTCACTGTTCACTCCACTTTCCAGCCTACTTTTTTCCCACCATAGATAATTCTAATTTAGGTTCATAGTCTTCCACAAGCACTGTTGTGCAGCTTTGTTTTGCTATTTTAGTTACTTATATGTAGGCTTAAAAATATAATTGTCTTCCCAGAACTTCAATATGTACATGTATCAGTTTCTACCCAGTTTTGAAAACAATCCAGTGAAAATTTTGCTCCACATTTTGCATATGCACTGTCTTACAGTGAAAAAGGGTAATTCAAGGTTTGTGTATACTTTCTGACAAAGAGTATATAAATGGAAAGAAATTATTAATTTTTTTTTTGTTTTTTTGTTTTCAACACTTCAAAATGCAATGCAAAAAGTGTTTGCACATACATAAATAATACTAGGATTCTAGAAACACCTTGCCCTTTTGAGACATACTAGAATACAAATTACTGGAATATATAGTAGATTTCAATCATATTCAGTTAACTAATACTTAACTATCTCAAACACTGGCACTAAGAATAGACATAAGGTGAGGAAGTTCAGGAGATATTAGTAATCTGTAGATTTGCATGTAAACTCAGAGATGTAAACATCCCTCAGAAAGAAAAAAAAAGTATCCCAAAGGGAAATATTGATTTATTACAAAAGAGGCAAAGATTCTGCATGTGTCTATTAGAGTGAACTAGCTTATCTAAGGTATTTTTATGGTATCTGCCCTACATGCATTCCCTCTTCTGAAAATAGAACTGAATTTTCCTTTTCATCCTTCCCTAATTTTCAGTTTTCTACATTTCTGGTGAACTGATTCTATTTTTAGATCAATGAAATGACTAATAACTAGGTTCCATTTTCATTGTTTTGTACTTGGTACATTAGCATGGTCATACCAGATTTGTAGGTCTGATCTCTCTCCTAATTAATTAGTGTCCACGTGTAACAACTGTTAAATATCAGATAGGATGTTGTTCTGCCTAATATTGAATATATTGGTAAGAACTGATTCAGGAATGGGCAAATGGACCAAGCCAAGACAATCAGACCCAATTAGCACTGGTCATCAGACTGTTGCTTGAGCAACCCAGAAAGGGCTAATCTTTTTCTTTTTCTTTTATTATTTTCTTTTTTCTGACACAAGCCTAAAGCCACATGGTAAAATCCTGCCTATGAGTATGCTATCACAGAATGAAACAAATCTGTGAGTTATGGAATGAGAAATTATGTTCTGATTATATCATTCAAACCCGTGGTTAAAAGCCAATTCTGCTTTAATCAGCTCAAGTTGGGTTTTCTGTCACTTGCAACTATATTTCTTTTCTTCTTTTGTACCGGGTATTGAACCCAGGACATTCTAATATAACCTATAAGAATCTAACTACTTCTCCCCTGTCTTTCCATCATTCCTGACTTAACCTTACTTTTCTCTCTTCTTTCCTTACTGCTCTGCTGCTCTGATGGCTTCATTTGAGTTCCTACAGCATACAAAACTCTCACACCTCAGTTTGTACATAATGTTCTCTGTATCTAGAGTCATCTCCCCATTCTTTGCCTGGCTAGCTGTTCCTTCATGTCTCAGATTCAACTGTCATTTCCTTAGAAAGTACTAAGTCCTGGGCCACCTCTTCTAAAGTGGATCCCCTGTGTTTTTCTCTCTATAATTCTTTTGTTTTCCTTCATAGCATTTATCACAATATGTTTTGTACACATTTGTGAATTCACTTGTTTGATATCTGAATCCCTCACTAAACTTAAATTCTAAAAAAAGTCCAGGTCTGGGGATGTGGCTCAAGCCGTATCGTGCTCGCTTGGCATGCGTGCAGCCCGGATTTGATCCTCAGCACCACATACAAACAACAATGTTGTGTCCGCCAAAAACTAAAAAATAAATATTAAAAAAAATTCATTCTCTCTCTCTCTCTCTCTCAAAAAAAAAAGTCTCTCTCCAAAAAATAAATAAATAAATAAATAAAGTCCAACAGCTGATATCTGGTCTATTCACCATCATATAACAAGTGCCATGCATAATGCCTGGCTCACAGTAGGTGCTTAAAAAAATACTTGTTGAATGAATGAATGATAACTTAGATAACATAGCATAACAGATGAAAAGTGCTTATTTCATTAAAAGCTTTACAGATCGGATGGTAAGAGATAGCAAGTCTAGGGAGAAACAGGGAATTCTGGAGTCACCAACCATCTAGAGGTGTGGAGGACACATACACGAGTATAGGTGGGTAAATCTAAAATTTTCAGAATCAATTTGGGGGCTAGATATTGTTCTTCACTTAAGGGCAAAAGATTACAGGATCAAGATAGTTAAAAAATGGAAATACAGCCCAGCCTACATCCAGAGAATGACCTAGGAGCTCTTACTTAGAAATAAGACTCAGTCTCTAAAGAGTCCCACCATATCCTGAAGCTGTGCCAACATAAATCTACCTAGAGTCTGTGCTTTCTTTATTGATATCCCTATACAGTGTTAGATCTTGAAAAAGAAAATTGGGTGTTTCATAAGCTAAGCAGATCAAATCCATCTTTGGTTGACTGCTCAATTCATTAATTTCTTGGCTCTTGGCTCTTTAATTTCTCCTGTTTTCTACCAGAATTTCCTCTTTTATATTCAAAAATACCCCTATGGGTTTTATGCTAATTGAAATATTTAAATTCTCTTTTGAATGATGAGGAGAATGATGATATATTTTATAACCTCTCTTTAGCCATCATGGTTCGTAAGAAATCAGTTCATTTTAGACGTCCACTATGATGCCAAATGATAACTATCAACAATCTGTAGTCTGTAGCTAGCACAAACTCAGAAGAATAAAGTAATATTCCACTATAACTTTCTTACTTAGTCTATACTTTAAATCAAGTTTTCTCAGTGCTCTTTGTCCCTCCCTATAGCACTATCAACTATTTATTCCTTCATGACTAACTGAATTTGTAGGAGTTATATCATCATGTTTTATATACTTTGTAAATAGGATTTTTAAGATAATGTCCCAAAGTTTCAAGAGTCTGAGTTTTATTTTCATTACAACATAGTGAAAATAGTAAGCAACAGACTTTTCCTGCTAATAATACTTGATAAAAATGGAAATGTGTCAATGCTTTGCTTATTTCATTAAATCAACACATTTGTTTCACAATATGCTTTGCTGTGACTATTTTCAAAAAAGTTAGACTTCTGGAAGTTTTAAATAACACATTTGTATGACAGCATCTCAAGATGGGTAAAACATTGTACTGCTGGGTACTATGGTGCTCACCTATAATCCTGCCAGCCTGTGAGGCTGAGGCCAGAGGATCCCAAGTTCAAAGCCAGCCTCAGCAACTTAGTAAGGCCCTAAACAACTTAGAGAGACCCTCTCTTAAAATAAAAAGTTCTAGAGATGTTACTCAGTGGTAAAGCGCCTCTGGGTTCAATCCCTGGGACCAAAAACAAACAAACATTCTACTAATTATTATCCTATTAACAAAAAACATTTGGTCCCCTTACTCCCTGTCCAATGTTAACATTGTGGAACCCAGCATAGTACAAGGTGCAGAGGTGACTGCTCTGATCCATAAGACTCTGCAGAGGCTCTGTTTTAGGAATGATAGTATTCATTTTTTCCACAAGGAGGCTATATAAAGAAAATTACATAATCGTAAATGATAGATATTGTAAAAAATAATACACAGAAACTTACTCTTTTTCATGTTTCTCAAGATTTTCAAACTCTACAAAAGTGAAGAAAGGAAAAAGGTTAGTTTGTTTCCCTATAAAAAATCAAAATATTTTAACAAATAGAAATATAAATTTAAGTAAAAAGGATTAATTTCCTTAAAAACAACCATGAAAAATGCATAATTTTTTATCTTTCCATTTTTAATTCAGTGTACAATTTCCACTTGATTATATCTTGCTATTTTTACCATATAAGTATCCATACCACAAATTTAGAAATAATGCTATTAGAATGTCATGAGTAAAAATGAAGTTTCGACTTCTCTCATTTATTAGGAGCATTCCAGAACCCACAATGACTTCTGCATATAGCACTGATAGATAACCTTTCCCATTCCAGCCAAGAATTTTTCCAGCCAATCATGTTTTATTATATTCAGTTTACTTAGGCCCACTCCCTTACTGTAACTATGATACTTCCTTCTCATCATTCAGCCAGCCCTTGTCCTTGGTCAGCCTCCTTTATAGAGGCATCTTCTTCAGGAACCCACCCAAATTTCTTTTTTATTCCACATTTCCTTGCATGTATGTTTTTAATCTGCTGCATTCTTACTTTATTGTTCTTAATATTTCATATAGGTATCACATAGTTATTCTGTCTAATAACCATACAGGCAAGTGTTATTATTTCTCTAATACCTAAGAGAACCACAATCTTCCATATAATAGATAATTAAGAAATTATTTTTTTGGAAATTTTTAGATTTTTAATAACTGATTTACCAGGCACAATGGTGCACACCTGTAATCCCACCAGCTTGGGAGGCTGAAGCAGGAGGATCTCAGAGTTCAAAGCTAGCCTCAGCAATGGAGAGACACTAAGCAACTCAGTGAGACCCTGTCTCTAAATAAATACAAAATAGAGCTGGGGATGTAGCCCAGTAGTTGAGTGCCCTGAGTTCAATCCCCAGTACCTGTGGGGGCGGGGGAAGTAATTTATTTATGAATCAAAAATTTTAGTGAAAATGTTCCCATTCAAACTGGGCATGGTGGCACATACCTATAATAACATCTACTCAGGAGGCCAAGGCAGGGGGATCACAAGTTTGAGTCCAGCCTGGGCAATTTAACAACAAAAAAAATACAGGCTGGGGAGGTAGCCCAATGGTAGAGTACTTGCCTCGTATCTGAGAGGCCATGGGTTTAATCACAAGTTCCACTAAATAAATAAGCTCCCATCATTGTCCTCCATTTACCTAGTTTCTAATGCTCCCCCTGCCCCATAGTAGTAGTTAGTTTGTTATATGTCCTTCCAGAGTTACTTAATGGATATACAAGTAAATTTATAGATAAATCACATTTCCCCCTTTTAAGCAAAAGTAAGTATTTTTAAGAATATTGAGAGTCTTCATTCTTTTTTTAGCTACATAGTATTCTATTGTGTGTGTGTGTGTGTGTGTGTGTATATATATATATATATATAATGATTAACATTTGTGATGTTTCCAGTCATTTGCTTATAAATAATGCTGAAATCAATACTTGGTATACATACAATTTCATGTGCATTCAAGCATTTGTGTAGGAATTTATTCCTAGAAGTGAAATTGTTAGGTCAAAGGATATATGTATTTGTAATTTTTATATTACTAATTACCCTCTACATAAATTGTACCATTTCATACTCTCACCAACAAAATAGGTGTATGCTTATTTCCCCATAGCATCCCTAACATAGATTATAGTCAAACTTTTGGAATTTGCCACTCTGATAGATTAAAAGCAACATTTTTTCATTTGTGACTTTTTTTCTCTTATTGTGGATGAGGTTGAGAATATCAAATGTTTAAAGGGCAGAACATACTTCATTTGTTTTCTTTTTTTTTTAAAGCGAGAGAGAGAATTTTTTAATATTTATTTTTTAGTTTTCGGTGTGCACAACATCTTTGTATGTGGTGCTGAGGATCGAACCCGGGCTGCACGCATGCCAGGCGAGAGCGCTACCGCTTGAGCCACATCCCCAGCCCTTCATTTGTTTTCTTTGAAATATCTGAGCATGTATTTTTTACCCATTTTTATTTTAGGGTTATTATTCTCTGTTAATTTCTAGCAACTCTTTTTTTAATATTTATTTTTTAGTTGTAGTTGGACACAATACCTTTATTTATTTATTTTTATGCGGGTGCTCTGGGTTGAACCCAGGGCCTCACACATGCTAGGCAAGCACTCTATTGCTGAGCCACAACCCCAGCCCTTTAGCAACTCTTTTTTTTTTTTTTTTTTAAACTATAAACTAATTTTTTTTTTTTAAATAAAAATTTTTAAAAAAAAAAAAAAAAAAACCTTTATGGGCTTTATGCCAGTTGCAAGAATATTTTTCTCCAATTTGTTCTTTGTTTTTTGTTTTTAAGGTGATTTTTTGGGGGGAGACAATGCAGAATTTTGTGTTTTATTTGGTTGAATTTATATGTCTTTTTCTTCATAGCTTCTGGTTTATTAATCCCAATTATAAAGGTCATTAATACTCCAGGAATCTTTCCAAGGAATCTTTCCAAGTTATTTTTTTAAGTACCTCTATAAGTTGGGAGTTTTGTGTTTATTTGCTTGCTTGCTTACTTGTTTTTTTAAAATTTAAATCCTTTAGCAATCTAGAATTTATTCTGGTGTAGATGGGAGTTATATATCCTGCCTTTTTTTCCCCTAGGTAGTTGTTTATTTATTTAATGCAACCACAATTATTAAACCATCCATCCTTATCCTCTGATTTGGGATATGCCTTCATCACAGACTAATTCCTACATATATCTTTATCTATTCTCTTTCTATTCTGTTGGTGGTTCTTTTCATACACCAATATCAGACTATTTCAATTACTGAGACCTTACAATATTTTAATATCTAGTAAGGATACTCTCCTTTCATTATATTTATTTGTTTATTTATTTCCTTGCTTGCTTATCTGCAGTTTTCTGGCTATTCTTGGTTTTCCTTCCTCTACCCATATGAACTTTAGAATCAGTTTGTCTAGTTCCAGTAATAAAGAAGTTGGTAGTTTCATTAAGCATCTCTTAAATTTATTAATCAGCCTTAGGGAGAAATAAATTCTCAAAGAGTTTTTTTTCTTCATTTTGGCTTCTGTTAATTTTGATTATCGTGAGTTAAACAGTTTTAGTAAAGAGGTTTAATCTAATTTTCTATCTAAATGCTGGGGAAGAGAGAAACCTTTAGTAAGGAAAGCTTCTGGCATGTTTCCTAAATCTCCAATCTTCTTTACCTTACTCCTTGTGAAGCTTTTTCCTGAAGTCTTCAATGTTTGTTTTGAAGATGTTGAATTTTTCATTGTTTCAGGACAGCTAGTAGCATAAGTTTCTACAGATTTGGCCTGCATACCTTGAACAAAGATAAAAGGGGGGAAAATGTTTTTTTGCATAGTTTCTTAAGCTTTTAGGATATACATAGATATATATTCAGATATACTCAGTAATTCTTGACTTTCTTTGGCTTTATTTTTACTATACATTGTGGGCTTTAGAAAATGTTTTCTTTTAGCTCAGTGGAAGAGCATCTGCCTACCCTGCATGAGGCAACTGGGTTTGATACCCAGCACTGCAGAAAAAAAGAATATTTATTCCTTTATCTTATTTAATCATTCTTTGTTGTTTTCCATTTGGTCTTTATTAACCTTTTAACATTCTCACTTTTATAACTTTTTTGGAAAGAAAGTACTGCAACTTACAATCTTCATCAGCAAGAAAGAAGGATTCTAAGGTTCTTTCTGGGAGTGGAGGTGGTGAGGGAGAAGAATCTTGATGGAAATCTATAATGAGAAAAGTATACAACAAAACAAAACTATCAGCTAAAAGTCTTAATGTCCAGACTTTTTTGGCTAAGCCAGGCACAGGCACGGTGGCACATGCCTGTATTCCCCACAGCTCAGGAGGCTGAGGCAGGAGGAGCGTAAATTCAAAGCCAGCCTCAGAAAAAGCAAAGTGCTAAGCAACTCAGTGAGACCCTATCTCTAAATAAAATACAAAATAGGGCTGGGGATGGGCTCAGTGATCCAGTGCCCCTGAGTTCAATTCCCTGTACCCACCCCCACAAAAAAGAAAGACTTTTGGCTTTGTTTAACTTTTATAATTAATTTTATAATTAATTAACCAGAACCTCAAGACTTTGTTCTCCTCTCTCTTTAGCCAATATGTCTATGATTCATCAAAAACTTATAGCTCACTTGCAGATGAATTCTTCCAAAGAAATTGAAATTGAATTTAATCAAGCTTCTAATCCTAACTCCTATTTGACAGGGAAATCCAGGAAATAGAGGAACATATTAAATAAAATCTGAAAGTACATTTAGTCAGATTCAGAATTTTAAGCAGTCTTTAGTATAAATGTTCCACTCTCTTCAAGATATACATGAGAAAATATAAAAAGGAAAGATATGTTAAAGATTTTAAAAATACTTAGGTAATATATAAACCCAATGCAATGTATAGACTTTGTTTGAATCCAGATTCAAATAAATCAACATAGAAAGACATTTGAGACAAGTGGAGAAAACTGAACAGTTTCAATGTTATGTAATATTAAGAAATTACTATTAACCCAAAAATAATTAATAATAATATTATTATGGTAGGTTTAAAATATATTTAGAATTCTCCATAATAAAGAATTTTAAATAACAGAGCTATTTTCCCATGATGTAAACTCCTAAAGATTCAGATGATGTTCCATTGACATAAGCTTCTCATTATACAGTGCTGAGTATTGTTAATATTATGTGCCTGGGTTCGAGCCCCAGTGGAACCATAACTAATAGGAAGTCCTCACTTTTGGGGCTGAGATTGTGGCTCAGTGGTAGAGAGCTCATCTAGCACGTGCGAGGCTACTTCTAAAAAATAAATATTGTAAAAAAACATTATGTGAATACCTTTGAAAATGAAAGTGCAGTTAAGTACTATTGTTTCACCTGTCATTGGTCACTGGAATTTTTTCAGGTCTTTGAATTTGTCTATTAAGCAAGTTTTCTTGTTTATTTCTCTATGCTGGGTAATATGTAAAAGTACAATACTTATTTCCAGCACCTAATATAATAACTGGCATATATAGGCATTTAATAAATATTTGATAAAGTAGTTTATCATTTAGTTTGCTATTAGGAAATATTCTGAAAACTATAGCTGTCAACTATATCTGCTAGAATATATTAAAAATATCCTAGCAGATATCTTCCTAAAATACAGTTTCATCTGAATACTCCACTGATGAAGGATTCACAGTATTGATTATTTACTGCATTAACACTGAATTTCTAGCAGGGTACAGTGGCACATCCTTGTAATCCCAGTATCTCAGGAGACTGAAGCAGGAGGATTATAACTTTGAGGCCAGCCTGGGCAATTTAGCAAGACCCTGTCTCAACATAAAAAATTAAAAGGACTGGGGATGTAGCTCAGTAGTAGTGAGTTTCCTGGGTTAAATCCCCAGTACTGCAATTAAAAAAACAACAACACAAAACTAAATTCCTCTGGCTATCTTTGTGTATATGGTAAAATATACATAAGATTTACCATTAGTACATTTACAGTATTGTGCAACTAACACCACTAATTCCAGAACATTTCCTTTACTTCTAAAAGGAAATTCTGTACCCATTAAGTAATTACCCTTTATTCCCTCTTTCCCCTAGCCCTTGGTAAACTCTGATCTGCTTTGTGCTTTATAGATTTGCCTGTTATAGAGATTTCATCCAACTAGCTTTCAGGTCCTTCAAATCTTGTTAAACTGCCCAGGCTGGCCTCTAACTTGTAATTCTTCTACCTCAGTCTTCTAAGTAGCTGGGATTACAAATGTGTACCACTGCTCCCGAAAAGTTAAAGAATTCAATGAGCAGAAATAATTGAGACTTGCATTATTAATGATGGTAAAATCTATATAATGGAATGCTACTAATTTTTTAAACTAAATTTATTTATATGTGACTGCATGACCAATATGGTTCTGCAACATGCACACTCAGAAAAATGAGAAATTATATCCCATCGATGTTTGATATATCAAAGCGCATAAATGCAATCTACTCTCATGTATAATTAATTAAGACAAAAAATTTAAAAATTTTTATTTTAATAAAATAAAACTGTACATATTAATGGAGTATACAATGTGATGTTTTGATACATGTATACAATGTGTAATGTTTAAGCCAGGTTAAATAAATCTCTTCTAATGCATATCATTTCTTCATGATAAAAACATTCAAAGTCCTTGATTTTTACCTTTTGAAATATACAGTGTATAATTGTTTTTGGAGTCACCCTGCTATGCACTAGTACACCAGAACTTTATACTCCTATCTAATTATAACAATATCTACTGTTAAAATCTCCAGTTTCATCCATGTTGTCACAAGAATTTCATCTTTATTATGGCTGAATAGTATCCCATTGTGTATACGTGCCATATTTAGTTTATCCATTCATAAGTGGGTGGACACTTAGTTTGTTTTTGTTTCTGTTTCTTAGCTATTGTGCATAATGCTGCAATGAACATGGGAGGGCAGATATTTAACATACTGATTTCATTTTTTTTGGATACAGATCCAGTAGTGGGATTGCTGGGATATATGGTATTCTAACTTAAATTTTTAGGAACTTTCAAAATGTTTTCACTAATGGCTGTGCTAATTTACATTCCCACCAATCTCCCATTCTGTAGGTTATCACGTCACTCTGATAGTTGTTTCCTTTGCTGTACAGAATACTTTTATTTGATGTAATCCTATTTATTTTTGCCTTTCTATGTTTTTTGGAGTCTTGTCCAAAGAAATCCTTGCATTTTCCCTGTGTTTTTTCTAGTCGTTTCATAGTTTCAAGTCATACATTTAAGTCTTTAATTTATTTTGAATTGATTTCTGTAACTGGAGAGAGATAAGAGTCTAGTTTCATTCCTGTACGTGTGGGTTTCTGATATGGTTTGCATATGAGATGTGCCCCCAAAGCTCCTGTTTTAATGCAGGAATACTTGGAGTTTATGTAAAGTGACTGAATTGTGAGAATAGTTTACAATCAAACTAACTGGGTGGCAACTATAGGCAAGGGGGCATGACTGGAGAAGGTAGGTCACTTGGGGTATACCCTGGAAGGGTTCATCTTCCCTGAGGCCCGTTCTCCTTTTTCTCTCTGCTTTCTGGCCACTTTAGTAGAGCAGCATTCCCTTCACCACACCCTTTCACCACAATGTTCTGCCTCACCTTGAGCCCAGAGTAACTGAGTTGGTCCACCAGAGGCTGAACCTCTGAAACTGTGAACTAAGATATTTACTAATGTTCCCAGCACCATTTATTTAAAATACCATCATTTTTCCAATTCATATTTATAGCATCTTTGTTGAAAACCAGTAGATGAATGAGTTTTCTTCTAAGATATCTATTATTTTCTTCTGGACTATGTGTGTTTTTACTGTCAATATTATGCCATTTGGATTACTATAACTTTGCAGCATATTTTTTAGTATATTTTGAAGTTAGGTAGTATAATGCCTTTTGCTTTGTTTTTTTCTCTTTATTAAATTATTTATTCTAATTGTTATATATGATGGCAGAATGCAATTCATTTCATATTATATAGAGAAAGCACAATTTTTCAAGTCTCTGGTTATACACAAACTATTTTCACACCATTCATGTCTTCATACATGTACTTAGGGAAATGATGTCTAACTCATTCCACTGTCTTTCCTACTCCCATTCCCCTTCCCTTTCATTCCCTTCCCTTGCTTTGTTCTTTTTGCTCAATTCTAAAAGATCCTATCTGAAATATGTTTTTAAAAGATTATATAAGGAACAGAATGCTAAAATCCATCTTCACCTTGCCCACAACAAAACAAACGTTGTAGTTTGAGAAAACCAGAAATAAATCAATAAATTAGCAGAGGTTACTATGAGAACAATGAGACCTCCTGAGGTAAATTACTCTAAACTTAATGAATTGTTCTTACAGTATAAATACTAGGGCTAAATATCATATACAACCAAAAGAATTTTTACCTGATTTGGGACTCTGGAGTTTTACGTTCTAGAAGAAAAAAAGAAAAGTGAAAGAATAATATATATACATATATATATATATATATATATATATACACATATACACACACACACACACATATGTATATATATACATTATACAAATTCAAAGCAATAAATGGCATTTCTGTAAATTATTTTTCAAAATATATCTATAGAGGTGAAATGTATACCAAATTTTTCCTAATTCATAAGTGTGCTTCAGTACAGTTTTATATAAAATTTTACATATTTTTTTCTTATATCACATGGCAATTAGTCAAACATTGATCCCCTTCTGACTTATTTCTTTCCTACTAAAACACTTTCTTGAAAATTTACTTGGAAGTTAGTTGTTGAAATTGTAGTCACTTCATGACATTAGAAAAGGAGTGATTGGGGAGGGGGGATAGTTGAGGATAGGAAAGGTAGCAGAATACAACAGTTACTAATAGGGCATTATGTAAAAATGTGGATGTGTAACCGATGTGATTCTGCAATCTGTATTTGGGGTAAAATTGGGAGTTCATAACCAACTTGAATCTAATGTATGAAATATGATATGTCAAGAGCTTTGTAATGTTTTGAACAACCAATAAATTAAAAAAAAAAGAAAAGGAGTGATTGTTCTTTACTCTGAGAGTTAAGATAAAGACCATTACTTGTGTACATATTATTAACATTAATAACAACAGTTACTGGTACATTAAAATTATAATTTAAGAGGTATAAAATATTTTACCTATCATCATTGTAATGGTAGGAACTTTTAAGTGTTGAGTTAGTTACTTTTTTTATTTTTGCAATTTTAATATTGTTGGTTCAAAGAATATACAGAAATGCATAGCAGATTGTTAGAAGTGTAGATTTTTTTTCTTCCAGATGCAGGAAACATATTCCAAAGGTCTATCTTAAATAATATGTACACATGTCATTTTAAAAATTACTCTTTATAATGTTATCAAAACTAACATGATACAGACTATGAAAAAGCTACCATCATATAAAATATTTCTTTGCCTTAACTTTAAGAACCAGCCCAAATGTTTCTTCTTTCACTGTCTTCTTGATCACTTCCAACCTGAAAGTATCTTCTATGCTTTGACTCTCCTTATCTTTTACAGAACATTGATCATATTTATCTTGCTATAATAAGTATAAATAAGATGAAGACTTATGTATACATCCTGTATCTCAACTTCAAGTTTCTTAAGGTCAATAATTGTGTCTTTCACATTTTTCTTATTCCCCACATCCTCTAGAACATTGTATGTAGTGTCTACTTAAGAGAATGATAGGTGCATGGAATGAAATTATAGTCTGTTCAATCTACATGAACCAAATCAGAAAAAAGTTATTGACCTTGCTTGGCCTAAGTCTCACAGAGTCATCAAGTGTCTTTGATTCAGATGTTCCACTCCATTCCAGTGAGGTTCCAATTTTCACCTTCACAGTTGGAGATGAGGATGTGGGAGCACTCGTTGAGAATTCGCCTAGAAGAAAGTGAATATGGCCCAATTCTTAGGAGTGGTGGTCTTCTTTGAGAAATCAAATGTTTTGCTGGGTGTCATGGCACACACCTATAATCCCAGTGGCTGAGAGTTGAGGCAGGAAAATCGTAAGTTTGAGGCCAGTCTCAGCAAATTAGCAAGGCCATAAGCAACTTAGTGAAACCCTATCTCAAAAATTCAAAAGGACTGGAAATGGATTGGAGTTGTGGCTCAGTGGTAGAGTGCTTGCCTAGCATGTGAGAGGCACTGGGTTCAATTCTCGGCACCACACATAAATAAATAAATAAAATAAAGGTCTGTGGACAACTATATATATATATAAATATATATATATATATTTTTTTAAAGGGGGGATGGGGAGGCTGGGGATGTAGCTTGGTGGCAAAGCACCCTGAGGTTCAATCCCAGGAACAACAACAACAAAATGTTGCTCATCAGTAGTACACAGAACACTGAAGAGAACTGAGAAGTAGCACCATATTATATACTTATTCAACTGTACTCACCTGCTTCCTCTACTACAATAAAAGACTCAGGTGTCCGTTCAGGAAGTGGAGGGGGGATTTCATCATCCATTCTAGGAAAAGTTGCTATCCACAATGTCAGAAATACAATCACAAGTTTTAATAAGAACAATCCAAAGGAAATTCTTATAACCTAATGCTAAACATAAATTTAATAGAATTTATATTTAAATACCATTAAAGCTGGTATTTATTCACTCAAGGATAAAAGCAGCAGAACAAATTTGTCTTTAGGTGCAAACCCAGGAAGTTTTTACTTATTCTTCAAATTTTTTTTATTCTAAAAGCCCAAAAGTATTTTTGATTGAGTCACTAAGAATTAGGATGCTTTGGACTGGTTTCTGCATAACTCTTTCCTCTTTTTCTTTTCTTTTTTATATTGAATACATAATAAAGTAAGCACTTTGACAAGCTGAAGATTCCATCATACAGCAGATAAAATTATAAAGATTTTAGTATGCCTTCTTTATTCCACACAAAATCCCAAGAATATGGATGTTTTTCCTTTTATTTCTTTTTTACAAAACAAAGGTTTTACAGAAAATTTTAAATTCTATTATAAGAAACTGCCACCAGATGGCATATGTGTCAATGTTGCTACAATCCTTGAAAATAAGGATTTGTGGGGGTTTTTTTGTTTTTTTTCTTTTAATGATTATGATGCTCTGAGAAATCTTAGGTATTTTGGTTGTGTAGAAAAAGAAGATATGCTTAAATTATAAAACAAGACCAAAGTATATAAAGTAATCAAAGAAGAAACTTCCTAGAATTCAGATAAAATATTTTTGCAACAAAACTACAAATAATCTACACATCTATCTATAGAGAAACACTGTACATGGGCTGGGAGTGTAGCTCAGAAGTCAAGCCCTGTCTGGCATACATCAGGACCTGGGTTTCATTCCTGGGACCAACGAAAAGAAATTATACAATAAAGAATGTTATAAAACAAAACTTTTTCTCTACTAAGTAGAATGTTCTTAGTAAATTATTTGATGGTATGCTTAAGAGAATTAAAATTACTCTTTACTTTCCCATCAAATTATTATAACCTGAGCTGGAGATGTAGCTCAGTGGTGAAAAACATGCATAGCATGCCTGAGGCTCTGGTTTCAATCCCTAGCCCCTCGAAGTAATAATTATAATAGTTTCTTAGCAGGATCTTCACTTCTACTTTCAAATGAATCCATTAAACAATATATATAATATGCAGAATCCAGAATTGTAAAACAGATAAAATATGAAAGTAAAGGTGTGTCCTAAGATAAAAGTTTTACACAAAATGCCAAGCAGATCTTCTCATCTATTAAATTATTACAAAAGGGCAGGAAATCAGGTCCTCCCCTTTCAACTCCTGCAGGAAAAGAATTGAATGCTTTAACAATACGTTAAATTCATTAGAGCAATATGATTGTGCAACACAACTTTTGAATGACATGTGATACTACTGATCAGATATTTTCCACTGTTCTTTGGAAGCTGTTTATGTATATTAACTGTGGGCCTTTGATAAACATTTCTAGGAAAGAGGATTGCCTCCTTCAGGAATTCTCTTGTTGACTCAGATCCTTTATTAGATCTGAGTGCCTTCTCTACCACCTGTTTCATGGAATACTACATTTGATATTGTTTTCAGCTTATCACATTGTTAAAATACTCTGGAGTTTATTTCTTTAAAGATGAGAAGAAGAAAAAGAAGCAGAGGAAGAGATGGGATAGGATGAGAAGAAACCAAATATTCTGTAGAGCAAAGTGAAATCTAACAGGCTACAAACTTTAAAAAGTAACTTACCCACTGTGATTGCTTCTTGTTTCAGTGATGGAGAATTGGTCAGAGGATTCAATGCCAAAGAATCATATGAATTATAATAAGAAAAAAGGGTTGGAGAGGATGTTGGCAATGAAGAAGGCAAAACAGTTACATCTTGCTTTTCAGGTAAATCAAGGGACATTTTAGAGTCAGAACTACTTGGAGGCAATGATGAAAAATAAGGATCTTCCACCAAAGACATATAAGAACAGACACCAAATGCACTGGAGTCATGCTGATTTTCATTAGAGGCATTACACATTTGGTGCTTAGAGTTATGTGGCAGTGAATAATTCAGTTCTTCTGAAGAAACGTGCATCACTCTTTGAGACTGCAATTTGACAAAATGAGAATCATGAGGTTGAGTTTCCAAATATGAAAAGGTTTCCTGAATGTTCAACTCCTTGCTTTTTCTCTGCTGTGTGAATTCAAAAGGAGTTGATTTGGTCCGTGTTATTGGCCCCTTTGAATTAAAACCCCTTCCTTCTGCATTTACAGGCTTAGAATTAGAATAAGCCCCAAACAAACTGGAGCTGAAGTCCAAACTTTGATGCTTGTGAAGGGGTTCCCCAACTACTGGTAATGGCTTAGTCTGCCATTTCGTGGTTGTGTCAGCATTTTTGTTACAATCATAATTTAACTCCAAAAAGTCAAAAGAAGGGCTTGACTTAGCAGAGTGCAAAGTGAAATCTTCTTTTGCACTTATTTCAGAAACCCTAAAGTTGAAGGAAGAAGCTTCTGCAATTCCTTCCTTTGTCCTTTGTTTGCTCTGCTGTTTCATCATTTTCTCTTCTTTTATGGTGCTGAAAAAAAAAAAAAAAAAGAGTAATGACAATACCATGCCTCAAAGAGGGCTTTTCCCAATGTAACAATGAAGTACAAGCATGATATTCTTCCCCCAATTAGTCAACATTTGGGTATGTAAAATTGTACTCACCATTCTGGTAAATTAGGGAAACAAGAATTTGTTTGTTGAGTAAGATTTTGTTCAGAAATGAAGTACACTGCTTGAATCTTCAAAAGAAAGAAATCAGAGATGGTTTTTTAGTAAGGCCATGTCCATGAAATATTTTAACATTCAGAGGACCAAGAAGTAATTTTTCAGAAAATACAAAAATCTAATTCATGAAAGATTTAGATGAGCTTCTGAAATATTTAACCCAGCAGAAACTTGTTCATATACTGAGATTAAAAGTATCAGAATAGGTCTGGGATTGTGGTTCAGTGGTAGAGTGCTTGCCTAGAACATATGAGGTACTGGGTTTGATTCTCAGCATCACATTAAAAAAAATGAATAAATAAAGGTATAAAATAAAATTTTTAAAAAAGTATTAGATAAAGGATGAATTTACTAATAGCATCATCTTTTCAAACACAGGAGTTTTAAAATGTTCTTAGGGGTAACTTCAATCTTTAGAACATTCTAACTTCAGAAATTTTAGCATGTCAATCAATTAATAGGTGCTTATTAGGTCCCTGCATCTATCTCATCTTGTTTATTCTTCCTTCTCATTTGCTCCAGGTATAATGGTCTGCTTGCCATTCTTCACATGCCAAATTTGTTTCCAGTCCAATGCTTTTTACACTTAGTATTCCCTCTGATTTATACATTCTTCTTCCAGATTTTGCATGGTTGCCTCTTTCTAAGTAATTGGATCTCTGCTTAAATGTCATCTGCATAAGGAAATTGTCCCTGAATACTCAACCTAGAGTCATATTCCCAGACCTATGTAGCCACTCTCAATCTTTATTTTGTTTTTAAAAAATTAAGAAATTTGTTACTGGGGCTAGGATTGTGACTCAGCGGTAGAGCGCTCGCCTAGCACGTGCAAGGCCCTGGGTTCCATCCTCAGCACCACATTAAAAAAATAAATAAAATAAAGATACTGTGTCCAACTACAACTAAACAATAAATATTTTTTTAAAAAGAAAAAGAAATTTGTTACTGTGATTCATGGACTCTTAAGGTACCATTGATTAGAAAGTATATGCTGATTTCATGGATGGAGTTAGAGAATATCATGCTAAGTGAAGTACACTAATCCCAAAAAAACAAAGGCCAAATGTTTTCTCTGATACGTGGATGCTAATCCATAATGGGGGTGGGGCATGGGATGAGTAGAGGAACTTTGGATGGGGCAAAGAGGGGTGGGGCATGGGGTAGGAAAGATGGTGGAATAAGATAGACATCATTACCCTAGTTACATGTATGATTGCACAAATGGTGTGACCCTACTTTAGGTACAACCAGAGAAGTCAAAAATTGTGCTCCATTTGTGTACAATGAACCAAAAAGCACTCTGCTATCATGTATAACTGATTGGAATAAATAATAAAGTATATGCTGATTTCAGACATGTGAAAATGTAAAAAAAATAATACTACTTGCTATGGGTTTGTGTCACCTCAAAAGGTATGATGAAATCTAACCCATGATATCTGTGAACATGATCTTATTTGGAAATAAGGTCTAAACAGATTGTAATTAGTTAAGATGAGGTCTGATACAGGCAAAGATTGGAGTATGTTATCTAAAAGACAATGAATGCAAAGGATTGCCAACAAACAGAGAAACAAGGAAAATGCAAGAAAGACTCTTCCCCTAGAGCTGTTAGAGCCTAGTTCTGATGACACCTAGATTTCAGACTTCTAGCCTCCACAACCATTAGAAAATAAATCTCTGTTGTTTTAAGTGCCTCCTACTTGTAATACTTATTACACCAGCCCTAGCAAACTATTATAGAGACTTTCATACTCACTTTTAATAATGTATAGAAAGACCAAATTGAAGATTGGTAAGGAAATAGAGGACTTGAAAAACACTGTAAGCTAAAGAGACATAACAAGCATATATAGAACACTCCACCCAACAGCAGCAGAATACATATTCTTCTCAAGTGCAGAGAACATTCTCCTTGATAGGCCATATGCTAGACCACAAAACAAGTTTCAACACATTTTTAAAAGACTGCAATCATATTTTCTTAATCACAATGAAATGAAACAAAACTAGAAATAACACAAGGAAAACCTGAAAATTCAATATTAACACAATTAATGGATTAAACAAGAAATCTCAAAGAAATTAGAAAATACCTGAGACAAATGAGAACAAAAAGACAACTAAAGTTATAAGAAACAGTGAAATCAGTGCTAAAAGGAAAACTTAACAGCTGTAACTGAATACATTAAAATAGAAAGATCCCAAATCTATAGCCTAACTTTTATAAGGAACTTGAAAAAGAAAATTAAATCAAACCAAAGCTAACAGAAAGAAGGAAATAGTGAAGATTAAAGTGGGAGATAAATGAAGACTAGGAAAAGACAGAGAACAAATCTAAAAGTTTGTTCTTTGAAAAGATCAACTAAATTGTCAAACCTTTAGATAGATTGGCTAAGGGAAAAAAAGAGACTCAAATTACTAAAAGTCAGAAATGAAAATGTGGACATTACTACCACTTTTACAGTAATAAAAAGAATTATAAGAGAATGTGATGAACACTTGTACATCAACACATTGGATAACCTAGATAAAAATGGGTTTGCCAATCTACCAAAACTAAAGAAAAATTGAAAATCTGAATAGACCTACAACCTACAACCTCCCAACAAAGAAATGTCTAGTAGCAAAAGGTTTCTACCAAACTTTAATTAACACCAATCCTTCACAAATTCTTTCAAAAAATTGAATAGAAAAGCACTTGTCCTAACTCATTCTATGAACTTAGTATTTGCCTGTTACCAAAGCCAGACAAGAGATACTACAAGAAAAAGAAAATTACAAGCCAAGTACAGTGGCATATCCCGGTAATTCCATCAACTCAGGAGGTTGAGGCAGTGTCAGCAATTTAGCAAAATTCTGTCCCAAAAAAGAAAATTTAAAAGGGTTGGGGAAAGCTCAGTACAATCCCCAGTATGGAAAAAAAATAGTATCCTTTATGAATATTGATGTTAAAGTCCTCAACAAAATATTAGCAAACCAAACTCAACTGCATAATTTAAGGATTATACACCATCACTAAGTGGTATTTATTCTCAAAGCAAGGATAGTTCAACATGAAGAATTGATATAATTCATCACAATAATAAGATAAAAGGAAAAACCCCACATGATCATCTCAATCGATGCAGAAAAGTCTAAGATAAAAATACTTATCAAACCAGGAATATAAGAAAACTTCCTGGACTTGAGATGTAGCTCAGTGGTAGTGGTAGAGTGTTTGCCTACAATGTATGAAGCTCTGGATTTGATCCCCAGTGATGCAGGAAAAAAAAAAAAGGAAACTTTCTCAACACTATTAATATCATATACAAAAATGCACAGCTAACAATATATTCAATGATGGAAGACTCAAAGCTTTACAAGCCCTAAGAACAGAAGCAAGACAAGGATGTCAGTTTTGCCACCTATATTCAACATAGTATTGAAGTTGTAGAGTTCTAAAGTTCTAGCCTAACCAATTACAAAAAAAAAAAATGAAAGGCATCCAAATTGGAAAAGAGGAAGTAAAATTATCTATTTTCAGATACGATCTTCTGTCAGGAGGATTACACCAAAAACCTGCTAGGGGTGGGTGGGAAGAATAGAGATATTTTGGACTAGGCGGGAATTTAGGGAAGGGAGGGGTCATGGGGACAGGAATCAGACATTATTACCCTATGTGTATATATGGTTACATGACTTGTGTAACTCTACATCAGTACAACCAGACAAATGAAAAGTTATGCTCCATTTATGTATAATGTGTCAAACAAAATGCATTCCACTGTCACATATAACTAATTAGAACAAATAAAAAAATTTTTTTAAACCTGCTAGAGCTAATAAATTCAGTAAATTTTTCAGGATATAATATCAATGTTGCATTTCTATATGTACTAGCAATGAACCATATGAAAAGAACATTAAGAAAACTATCTTATATTCGATAAAGGGGCTAAAAGCATGCAATGGAGGAAGGATAGCATCTTCAACAAATGGTGCTGGGAAAACTGGAAATCCATATGCAACAAAATGAAACTGAATCCCTTTCTCTCACCATGCACAGAAGTTAACTCAAAATGGATCAAGGAGCTTGATATCAAATCAGAGGCACGGCGTCTGATAGAAGAAAAAGTTGGCTACGATCTACATGCTGTGGGGTCGGGCTCCAAATTCCTCAATAGGACACCCATAGCACAAGAGTTAATAACAAGAATAAACAAATGGGACTTACTCAAACTAAAAAGTTTTTTTCTCAGCAAGAGAAACAATAAGAGAGGTAAATAGGGAGCCTACATCCTGGGAACAAATCTTTACTCCTCACACTTCAGATAGAGCCCTAATATCCAGAGTATACAAAGAACTCAAAAAATTAAGCAATAAGAAAACAAATAACCCAATCAACAGATGGGTCAAGGACCTGAACAGACACTTCTCAGAGGAGGATATACAATCAACAAGTACATGAAAAAATGCTCACCATCTCTAGCAGTCAGAGAAATGCAAATCAAAACCACCCTAAGATACCATCTCACTCCAGTAAGATTGGCAGCCATTAGGAAGTCAAACAACAAGTGCTGGCGAGGATGTGGGGAAAAGGGTACACTTGTACATTGCTGGTGGGACTGCAAATTGGTGGGGGCCAATTTGGAAAGCAGTATGCAGATTCCTGGGAAAGCTGGGAATGGAACCACCATTCATTCGACCCAGCTATTGCCCTTCTCGGACTATTCCCTGAAGACCTTAAAAGAGCATACTATAGGGATACTGCTACATCGATGTTCATAGCAGCACAATTCACAATAGCTAAACTGTGGAACCAACTTAGATGCCCATCAATAGATTAATGGATTAAAAAATGTGGCATTTATACACAATGGAGTATTACTCAGCACTAAAAAATGACAAAATCATGGAATTTGCAGGGAAATGGATGGCATTAGAGCAGATTATGCTAAGTGAAGCTAGCCAATCCCTAAAGAACAAATGCCAAATGTCTTCTTTGATATAAGGAGAGCAACTAAAAACAGAG